AATCGATCAAGTAACGAACATCCTCCAACAATATGATAAATTCTTCCCTAACTGTCACGTAATGGAACTATTATTTCTTATAATACAAACAAAAAACTGAATAAATATTACAATATTTATGGTTTAGTTGATTTAAAATTTAAATGAAACAAAGTTTGTACTTTATTGATTATTTAATTTCTGAGAACTAAACGACACTGGTTTGGTTTACTTTGTTTAATTGTTTGTTTGTTTGTTTATTATGAATTTCGCGCAAAGCTACACGAGGGCTATGCGCGCTAGCCGTCCCTAATTTAGTAGTGTAAGACTAGAGGGAAGGCAGCTGCAGCTAGTCATCACCACCCCTCACTGCCAGCTCTTGGGTTAGTCTTTTACCAACGAATAGTGGGATTGACCGTCACATTATAACGCCACCACGGCTGTGACGGGAATTTGAACCCGCGACCCGCAGATTGCGAGTCGAGTGCCCTAACCACCTGGCCATGAGTTGTTATTTTAACGCATCTGTAATCGTCATCGCCAAGTCCGATAATTCACGTTTTATCATAACAAACCCACTTACCAATTATTATAGTCAGTCCGAAACTCACCAAAAACTACAGTTTTTTTGCCAGAAAAATACCATAAAAAAAACGGATAACACTACCGTATGTAAAAAATTCAGCTGTTTCGAAATCAGTTTTCCATTTTTGCGCGGCGCCAAGTAGGACCGAAGTTAGGACCATGTGAAGAACATAAATACGAAAAGAAAGGAAGCTGTGAAACGTGTTTACATTGTGATCCTACAGCTATATATATACAGTAAAACATTGCCATGTTATCCACCAATGTAGACGTGGAGTAGTGCAAAAGATCCAAAAGCCAGTAAAAAAAGAGAAGGAAGGGGCAGAGAAAGATGTTTTTATGTAAATGTGTGCTGAAGAGAGCGTTTCGTTACAAGATTGAGTTTGAAGACGTACTAGAAGAAAACTAGAAACATGTTTATTATCAGACTAATTATGCATTGAAATTGATTAATAACATCAGTGGAACTAAAATAACTCAATATTTGATAAAATCAAATAATCACGAATCTTTTCTTTGATTTTTTTGGGACGTCGGGAGGTAGCCGATCGTTTTCGCCATTTCAAATTGACCAGAAAGGATTTTTAAATTCTAAAAGTTGCTCTCGTCTTTTTAGACCTATTTATTTTTGATAGTTTTTAAAAAACTGCGGCCAGCAACACCAGGGGTGGGTTTCTAGCTGACCGGGATCTTAAAAAAAATCAATCATGTGGGTATTATACTTTAAGTTATATGAAATTTATTTATAATTTTTCTGTAGAATATACACTTTTTTCTCAATATTTACCAACTTGGACAAACGAAGATCGATTTAAAGATTGCGGTCATTTCTGTAAGACAGTCTTAAGTTTTTTAAACGTATTTATACTGAACCTTAGCTGAACAATCACACATAAAAATATCCACACAGTAATTACCTTTAATCAGTAATCCTGCATTAGCAACACTGTTACACATCACCGGTCCTAAACTATACAATTAAGTATAAGCGTACATTCCTGCGTAATTCCAAATGAACGTGCTTATACTTCCGTAAAGTTAAGTTGATCAAAGCATATCGTTAGGCTTAGTTCACTGTTATTTTAAAATGTATATACTTTGGGATGATAATGAGCATGTGACAAGAAGAAAATTGCAGTACCAGTTAGCAGCGGGACATGTGTCAACGACCAAACAACAAATAGGCATAACAGTACTATTGACTGCCAGTTGTATAGCAAAATTTATAATGAAAATAAAGCGAACAGAGGAGATTGACAGTAACCATAGGAAACAATACAGTAATATAGACGTACATGACTTGGACAGCATGACGGGTAATCGAAGTCTATTTCAATCTAACAGTGCAACGACGCTTCTATTGTTGAACGTGTCCATCACAACCAATTAAAGTCCTTGTTTCATTATGAGGTACAGTTTCCGGAACCGTTGTATTCTTGAGTTTGTTTTTATTATTCGTGTTACTAAAAGTATTGTATATATATAATTACAAAATCTGATTTTACTCTGTTGCAAGTTTTTTACTTTAACTACTAAACAATATACACTATTTGGTTGATTCTGAATTTGTATATTTGACCTATTTATAGATTATAATTCTAACCTTGCTCTTTGGAGCTATCATATAAGCATAATATACTTAAATTATTTCATCATCTTGTCTCGGGCACTTCATTTTGACGTGTTTAGTATCTCAATGTAATACAGAACAAATCAGTAGAGTCAAGTACATGCTGTTATGTATGTATGTTTGGGAGGTAAAATAATAATCACCTTGCCCTCACTTCGATGTCGCTATGAATAGCTTCTGAACAAACTAAAGCAAACTACATAGATTTTAATTAAAAAAGCAACTTGTATATTAATGAAGTCAATCCTGTACGAGAAATGACTGAGAAATCAATAGACAAGAAAACTAAAACTTATAATAAATAGTGAACTGAATCATTAATTAAGTAGACGATCCAACCTCAGCCACTATAGAACACTATGTTATATACAGTAGACGATCCAACCTCAGCCACTATAGAACAATATGTTGGATACAGTAGACGATAAAACATCAACCACTATAGAACACTATGTTATATACAGTAGACGATCCAACCTCAGCCACTATAGAACAATATGTTGGATACAGTAGACGATAAAACATCAACCACTATAGAACAATATGTTGTATACAGTAGACGATCCAACCTCAGCCACTATAGAACACTATGTTGTATACAGTAGACGATCCAACCTCAGCCACTATAGAACACTATGTTATATACAGTAGACGATCCAACCTCAGCCACTATAGAACACCATGTTATATACAGTAGACGATCCAACCTCAACCACTATAGAACACTATGTTGTATACAGTTATATACGATACAACCTCATCCACTATAGAACAATATATTGGATATAATAAACGATCCTACTTAAGTCATCGTAGACAGTAGTATATAATGTAGCTTGGTTTGATTCTATTTAACTAACATAGTGTCAACTAATAAATACACACAACAGGTATTTTAATGTTTTCACAGCACGAAAACACTTACTTCGTTATAGCAATAAGAGTATA